GGTGTTGGAGAATCTGCCATAGAGATTTCGGTCAGGCTTTACTAGCGTAGCAATCCGCTACAATGCAATCCGGTCAGGCTTTACTAAGGTAGCAATCCGTTACAATTCTCAACCGGTCTGGCTTTACTAAGGTAGCAATCCGCTACAAGTCTTTAACCAAGGCTTTACGAAGGTAGCAATCCGCTACATGTTCGAGACTTAGGGAGCAATCCGCTACAAGTCTACAAAACAATATACATAACTAGCGTAGCAATCCGCTACAGGTTTTACACTCAGTCATGTGACAATTGTCAAAGACGTCAACTTTTCTCATTTCAAAAAATTCGTCGGAAACTCTCCGATATAAGAAGACATAACCCAAATAGCATCTCGACTATCAAAAGAGGTAGCAAATGAAGGAATAAAATTTGTTCCGACGTCACCTGTTCAATTATACTGCTTTCTTTCAAACCGGTTGTACTACTACTACTACTATTATTATTATTATTATTATTAGAAGTAGTATTAGTAGTAGTGTCCTAAATCGCATCATACTACTATACCTAATTAGGGCGAACATAAGAACACCAAATAACATAAATCTGGCATTGTTAATAGTGCTTTCGTTTAAACTTTGGTCATTGATTAACCTTAGTCAACAGAGAACTTTAACAATAATACTTATTCAAACTAAGGTGCATTATTAGTACACTGATGGGGATGAAATTGTACTCCAAAATTATCACCAATTATTCTAAGCACTGACAAAGTTCATTTCGTAACTGCTTTAACAACTTTATGTTAAGGCGATTTTGTTTTTAACTCAAATTTATCTAAATTGTCGTGATACCTTCCACAATTGAACCATATATAACCAATATAACCAGAGATCTTATGACTAATTTGGGAAATGAATAGTGCAGTTGGGATCATATTCAAATTTTTCATATGGATAGGACAGGGATATGTAGAATGACAATGAAACTCTAAGATATTTAAGAAATGAAGAGTATAAATAGTGAGAGGTAGTGCCAATCTAGCCCATTTGCCTAACTATCTCCCACCAAGAGTGACAGCGACAGATGATTATGTGGCCCAATCAAGCCAAAGGTCACATGAGGCTAGAAGTCCATCTGTTTTCCTTTAATTCATAATGTATAAGAGGGGGGTGCTTTCATTTGACTTTATAGGCCTAATTTCTCAACTGCCTGTTTTCTTACAATAGCATAAATCTCAATTTTTATTAATTAGCATATAAAATGATAAATGAGGTGATAGTTTATGACGTTCTTCTCGTCTTTGTGCTTATCGCTTTAGGTGACACAAGTTGATTTTAACCCAAATTCACAGCTGGACTAGCCATTCGGTATACTTGTAAGTCTCACTTGCGTAGAACCAATTCCATTGCCGTAAAGTATTAAATTCGAAACTTAGAGCGTGTGGATTGTTCAATTCGATTGATTGAGTTAGTGTCTATATGGAAAGTTTATGTAACTACGGGACAGGAAACATTTCATTGCAATTTCCCAAATCACAATTGTCTTTGTAGAGTTCAAATGACTTGGACTAGATCGCTACCTTTATTATAACAACTTAAAATTTTAAAACCCCCTAAACACCTTGATAGGTAAAAATGTACATCGCTTTTAATTTTTTTTTCCACAGTTATTTTAAAAGATCGCTCTGTAGTTCCTTTTAATATCAGCGGCTTTGAATCTACTTTCAGTTCATATTACAATATGAAATCAACACGATGGCAATATACAATTGACACATTACAGTAAATCTGGTTTCAATATTATCCAAGGATAACCTAGAGAACAACAGTTCTCCAACTTTCTTACGTAACACAAGTCAGTCTAAATTTCAAAGAATTCAGAATTTATTTATTTATATCAAATGACAGGCGTTTTGATAGTTATCATTAGCCCTTTAGCTGACTTCGGGCTTCACAGAGGGGAGGAGTAACATCAATGTGAGAAAATGTGGAGAGGAGGAACAGAAGAGTGATTCAGAGATGCAAAAGAGACAGACAGACACAAAGGTGGAGAAAATGTTAAGGTGAAGTGAGTTCTGTGAAAGTGGTCGAATATGACATACAGTGGAATGATGGTTGTTTGATGTCAGATGCCAACTGCCGGTTAATAGACTTTTTTGCCGTATGAGTATACGTTGCCCAGGGAGCATCGATTGAAAGTAAGTCTATCGCACACCCCAAGAATTCAGAATTAAAAGTGAGTTAATGGTACCTACAAAGCAAGCTACTTCTACACTGTTACAGCTAAGGACGTCTGACCTCTGCTCTAGAGTCATTCTAGGCTGCACTTGATTCACACCCGGACAAGGTGGTTAGGCATGTGTGTCTACTCAAGCAAAGACCAAGCTAAATGGGCACAATTCATTGGTCAAAATAACACTGAAAGCACAACTTTTCATTCTGTCATGATATGCGTGCACCTGCCTATTGATGAAACGACGGGTGACGTGGGGACAACAAGCGAAATTGATTTTCTCGAGAGCAGCAACAATAACAACCGTGCAGCTTTTTGTCCTATTTGTAGGACATTGATAAATGCTAAAGATTGGCTAAGTTTACCAGAAGCAACAATTGTCCCGGATAAGGAAAATGCAGAAAATGAACACTTAGACCAGCACATGTAAATATTTTTACAAATTAAGCCTGGTAAAATACGTTGAAATGCACTACCGTTATGATATCTAAATATTATAATATAATTACAAGTTTCTACATTTCTGCAACTTCTACTGAACCACGGTCAAGCAAGGATGACGATATTTATGGTTGAGAATAGGTGTCTTTAGCTTACTCGAAATGTCCATTTGTCTATATATTGAATAAAAATAGAATGTATAAGACAATAAGCAGTAAAGAGAGGTACCAATTAAAATGTGATTGCCATTAATGCTAAATAAATTCACTCCCTCAAGAGTGTAGCGAGTTGCCACACAAAGAAGCCTTGACTTTTATTCAATAATCTCTATGTTAGGTTCTTCTAGCTAATGATAATTATCAAAACGCCTGCCATTAGATATATATATATATAATAATGTTAGGTTCTTCTAGCTTAGAAAGGCCAGAAGGATTAGATAAGCTACCGTAAAGCTAATGAGGAAGCAAACCTGTGATGTGGAATACGGTTATTCTGGTGATTATATATTAGGGATGTAGGAGTATTCGATAGATTTAGCTCCACGTGCTGCACCCTGGGCAACGTAAACTCATACTTCAAAAAAGTCTATTAAATGGCAGTTGACTTCTCACTTCAAACTACCATCACTCCACTGTATGCCATATTCGACTACTTCACAGTACTCATCTTACCTTTTCTCTGTCTTTTTGTCTGTCTCTGTTACATCTGTGAATCATTATCCTGCCCCCCCTCCCTCTCGACCTTTTGTCACTTTGATGTTCCTCTTCCTCTTTGTGAAGCCCGAAGTCAGCTAAAGTGCCAATGGTAACTATCAAAACGCCTGCCATTTGAAATAAATAATATTAGGGATGTATACCGGTTGTGGTCTGCCCATTGGGTTATGACTGTGGGGCCACATGTTGAGTGTATCTTTTGAATTTTGTGCTCTGTGTGTCGGTTAACAGGGTGCTTAGTCATTACATACATTTTCGAGTATGATAAATACGTAATGACTTTGACCATTGATCAGTCGAGATGTCTTTGAAATCGTCACCTCTGTTGCCCTTAAGCGTGATGCGCGTTTCTGCCTTTGCCATGCTAAAGTTTTGTGCCCCGCAGAGTATATTCAACTTCATCTGGTGTTTCTTTATTCGGATTAAGTATATTGGATCACACTGTAATTTTATCGCCTTTCAGATAAGTGAATGAAATTCCAAAATGTGAATTAGCAGGTAGGGTTATCCAAAATTGTCTTAAAATAACAAGCTTTTGACTGCTTCATTCCAAATTATTGTAAGAGCAAAGAATAAGACTCTAAGTAAGGTTAGGTCACCCATTTCTGACGCACATTTTCGACTTGGAGTTAATACCATTCATCTTACTGAATGTGAACTGGAGGATATTGAACTAAAGCGTATAAATTTGAAGACGAATTCGTGTAGTACTTCGCCAAAGCCAATGTAACTTTTTAACATCGTTTATTAAAATATCATTTTCATTAAATATACCATTAGCAGTAATTATTTGACAGCGTATATGTTGTAGATTGAGATTTTAACGGAATGGTTGAAACGGAACACTGTCATTTGATAATTAGCCATTTCAGTTGAAAGATGCATGTATTCCCTAAATGCCGTTGCAAAGTTGTTTACATAAGATTACCCTAAATTTCATGTTAGAAGTTGTTCTTCAAAATTCAGAACAGATTTTATACATTTGTAAAAGATTTGAGTGAAATATTTTCTCTAGAAATGTGAACTTATTAACTAAAAACTATACGTTCATCCCCACGGACTAGCTCTGGATACGAAGTAGAAAAACTACATAGGGAGATTAATAAATTTTATAAAGATAAAACCAAGAAAATTATTAAAAAACATTTATCTACTTATTTAATAATACGAAATTCGTAGTTGAAATGAAGACACTAGTAATTCCAATATATAATTTTTTAGATTTAGGACACTATGAAACATATAGCTTAAGTCTAAAATTTATATTCAAAGGGCAATTTTGTTTTCATTTAGTTATAAATGGGATAAATACCTAAGCTAAATGCTTAAACTCACGTACAATAGTTTTAAAATAAACAAAATAAATATTTATAAATCGATATAAATCTTAATTCGACTCAAAAATTGTAAAATTTAACAACATTTGTTTAAATATATCACATTAATCGTAATATAAAAGGAACGGATCCGAAGCATTGGGTGTGTTCTGGTTTTGCAGCAAGTTAGGTCTGCTTCTAATACCTGCTTTGAATAGTCATCAAACTAATTTCATGTTGCTCTTAAATTCTTACTTTTATGTTATTATCGCCCTCTGTGTTTTGTTTTATTTTAAATTTCCTTGTTATCAAATTTAGCGATGTCTCAATCTGTAAACGTTTGCAATTCTAATGTTGATGCCATGCCGGTAGATGTACTCTACCATCTGGGTATTTCTACTGATACCATGGATTTCAAAAAGGCTTTTGGTGATGTTAAAGTAAGCTATATTTATGGCATCCTAATAATATTCGTTGTAGTTTGTTGTCTTGGGTGGAAGTCACAAGCGTATGCAGAAAATTGCTGAAATTCTTCTAAAAGAATTTAAATATGATCTTCCTGTTGGTACTGGTCTTTCCAATATTTCTTGCACAACTGATCGATATGTCATGTACAAAGTCGGTCCCATTATTTCCGTTTCGGTAAATTTTCAATCTTATTTATCTGATTACTGCGCCAATTTAGCATGGTATGGGTGTTCCTTCCATCTCTATCTGTCTTCATGAGATGGCGAAATTGCTTCACCATGCTGGTGCTACCGATGTTCGCTTCGTTCGCGTGGGAACCTGTGGTGGCATTGGTCTCGATCCCGGATCGGTTGTTATCACCACTAGCTGCATGGATTGTGCTTTCAATGACTTCTTCCAACTGGTACGTCTAAATTTGCCCATAGGGAGGAAATTCGTTTCAACTTTGCCGTGTATTTTGTGGTATTTGGGTGTTTTAGAAAGTGATGGGCAAAGTTGTCCAACGTCCAGCTGAACTAGATGAGGAATTTGTACGCGGTCTCGTTGAAACCGCCGAGCAAATGCAACTCGATTTCACTGTTGCTCCTGGCAAGACCATGTGTGCTGATGATTTCTATGAAGGTAAGTAATTTTATTCATTTTTTACTCGGCATCCCTATCTTAATGTATTTGTGGACTATGCGTGCTAATCGGGTAACTTGTAATTTCTCAACCTTTTTTGTTCTTTCAGAACAAGGCCGTTTGGATGGTGCTATCTGTGATTACACTGAAGCTGAGAAGATGGCATTCCTGAAAAAGGCTTACGATCTCGGTGTGCGCAACTTGGAGATGGAGTCTCTTGGTTTTGCCGCTTTCTGTCAACGCCTAAACATCAAGGGTAAGTTGGACTCAGCTTTGACCTCTGAATTTGAAGCATTTGGATGATAACGATTCTTCTGCTTCCTTTTTAGCTGCTGTTATCTGCGCTACTATGGTGAATCGTCTGGAATCAGATCAACTCTCCACTCCCGTTGATACGATGCACATGTGGCAGGAAAGACCCCTTCAAATCCTTATAGCCTACATGAAGAAGGAACTCGGCATGTCCGAGTAACTGCTCCCTCCCTCCCCCCCCCCATCCAACTGCTTAGTTCCCCTACTGTTCCACTTCCCGCTCTCTTTCCTTTCTGGCGTCTTCTTGTAGTTTTCTCGCATTTAAAAGTGAAGTAGAAAGTGTTAGGACGTAATAAATTTATATATAAGCATACGTGCGTGTGTTTTGACTAATTATAGCGTTTGTCTACTTAGTCTATAATTAGGGTCTTCGGGGTTTTATAAAGGGGGGGGGTGGTCAAATGCCGAGTGAATTTCAGCTGATATCCTTGGTTTATGTTCAAGCTTCGGTATTCATGGGTTGACTTTGATAACGTTAATTCGTAGAGAAAAAAGTCTTCGAGTCTTACTCCGATTAATTGTTCGTCATAAGGCTTTTTGGGCTCTTCCGCTAGACGACTACTGGTTGATGAGCGTTAGTTGGTGTCAAATATGCTTAATCCAAGGCCCTCTACAATGCACTAATTGTTGTTAATTTCAATAGAATTGAATATTCATAACTTCTCTAAGAAAAGTAATACTTGCATAATTGTTTCCTTGTTATCATGCCGAAATGTCATTGCTAGCTGTGGAGTGGTTTGCATGCGTATCTGTCTAGCCGTAAGTAATGACGTTGATCTGTTTCAATGTCAATCTACTGCTATGGGCGACAAATAACAGGATCCAGTTCTGACTTGCAAAAGAGACGCAGACTACGGGTTTTTATCAATCGCCCACGGAAATACTCTCCACCTTCCATGGCAGGTATTATAGACTCTTCTAGCTGTGGATTTGAAATAATATTTATATTAAATGGCAGGCATTTTGATAGTTATCATTAGCCCTTTAGTAGCTTCACAGAAGGGAGGAACATCAAAGTGAGAAAAATTCGACAAGGGAAAAGAAGAGCGTTTCACAGATGCAAAAGAGACAGACAGACATAAAGGTAGAGAAAAGGTAAGGTGAGTACTGTGAAAGTGGGGGGAATATGACATAGAGTGTGTTGATGGTAGTTTGAAGTCAGAGGTCAACTGCCAATTGATAGACTTTTTGGCCGTATGAGTATA